ACAGCCCACCATACAACCTGCACAGCCCACCATACAACCTGTACAGCTCACCATACAACCTGCACAGCCCATCACAGACCCTGCACAGCCCACCATACAACCTGCACAGCCCACCATAGACCCTGCACAGCCCACCATACAACCTGCACAGCCCAACACAGACCCTGCACAGCCCACAGTGAAGCACGCCTTCATAACATGTGTGTTGAAACACCCGCTTGTAGATTGTCCCTGGCTCCACCCCTTTCTTCAATTGGATTTCAGTTCTTTCAATCATGGAGGCTCAACATCACTTGTGGGCGTTACCTATGCAAATACAGCCTGCTTAGTAACGCCCATTTCAGCAGACTGACACCCACCCATCAAGGCATTTCAATATTTGCATAACTTCTCCCAAGATCCACTGAAATGCTTCCTCCTGCCTGCAGCAGACTGATCACTGGGGGAAGGGGAGACTGGGGAAATGCTTCCTCCTGTCTGCAGCAGACTGATGACATCATTTCAGTCTAGACAAAGTCACTGACTGGAGCTCATGGAAGGTGGAGTTGTATATTGTGCATTCCGAATCTTGCGCGGTAGAAAGTAAAGATTGCATGGAGTGTGTACGAGTGTCACCTCCTCTCCATACCTCCTCCACTGTCACCTTATATACAGATCACTGATCCAGCACTGCTTCCACCTCCTCTATTGGACCAGACACACACTCATGTTATATTCTGTATATACCACTTATTATGACTGTATGATGTAAATACCAATAGAGCTTTTTATTAGGGATGCACCGATATATCGGGTGCCGAAACACATCGGCCGAAAAGTGCAATTTTCCTGCCGATACATCGGCGCATCCGTTCTTTCTCTCCTCCCCGCTGGGCGCTGCTCTGTGTCCAGCGGGGAGGAGAGAAAGTGACAGCCGGCCGAGCGCTGCGGGAGGAGAGCGCTTTGAGCGGCCGGCGTCTCTCCTCTCCTCCCCGCTCAGCCTCCTATCACAGATCAGAGGAGAGCAATGTGGGCGGAGACAGCCCGCGCTGTCATAGGAGGCTGAGCTCTCCTCCCGTACCGGCTCAGCCTCCTGTGACAGCCGATCCAGGGTGGAGAACGGTGGAGTGGGCGGAGACAGCGCTGTCACAGGAGGCTGAGCTCTCCTCCTTGCACCGCTCGCTCAGCCTCCTGTGACAGCTGATCCAGGATGGAGAGCGGGTACAAGCAGTCGGTGATCAGTGATCGCTGAGAGTTTGAACATAATTGAGGACAGATTATGGTTACTAGATCCTCAATTATGAATGAATGGGAAGTGATCTACATCACTTCCTGTTCATTCATGATTGTGGTTATAGTAAACATACTCTGTCCTCATGTTATGAAGGAACAGGAACACTCAGTATAGAGGATTCCTGTTCATTGAAAACTGGGACTGCAGAAAAAGAAATGGAGGACTCTGTGTGTCTGAGGACTCTGTGTCCCCAATGTCTTTTTTTACGTTAAAAGGGAAGCATCAGGGGTCTGTTTAGATGCCTAATATTTCCCCGAAGCCCCTAAAAGTAGAGTACAAAATAAAAATATTTAATAAAAATAAAATATTTAAAAAATGTGAAAAAAGTTAGAAAAATGTTTTTTTTTAGTTTCGGCCCGATATTTTTTATTTATTTCGGTTTTGTTTTTAAAGGTGCACCTCTAGTTTTTATATGAAATGTAGAATTTTCTTGGCCTCTGATCAGACACAAAACAATTTATTTGACAGAAACGTTGAAGAAATGTATTGCGTTAGAAAAGGAAGATTTATGACTTTAAATATAAAAATAATATAAAGAGGCACTTGGATGACGTAATCCGGCCGCAGGGGATCTCGTGCTGCCATTGATGACCATACCGCTGCACACTCAGGGGCTGGGAGACAGTTCACAGGCAGCGAATGTCAGGTGACCTCTGACCCCCGACATGAGCTGAACTCCTAAAGCGGAAAATCTCATAGAAAGGTAAAACTGAAGAATTATACTTCTAGCTGCACTCCAGGCAAACAGCTCAGCACTGAGATCAGATACAGACAAGGGAGTCACGTTACCCACCAAAGGATTTGTATTTCTGTCCATCCAGTCTCGAGATTTATACAGCTCTGCCACACAGCACAGCCCTGTCAGGCAGGCACAGACAGGAGACCTGATTTTTCTGTACTACAGATCGGTAACACTTACAGGTCTTGTCCCTCCCCCCGCCTGTGACTGGATAGTAAAAAGAGAAGCAGCAGACTGATGAGCTCATCTCTCTGTCGCTCTGCTCTTTTCTCCTATCAGCGTGCTCCTTGCACTGTAGCTGATTGGCTCTATGTGCTGCTTTTACCTCCCTGTCTCTGAGCTCTGGTGTACAGGGACCTGAAAGAGGTCAAATCCAGTCACAAACACCTTTAGGGATGTATTAATGATGACATAGCTGCAGTAATCTGTGTCAGTCATATGTGCCTGCGTTCAGCCATAGGAGTGAAGATTCCTTATTTCTGGCCACACACTATACAATCTGATTGTAGAAACCAAAACAATCCATTCAATTCACATAAAATCAGGCCGGCCCCCCGCACTCCATAGTCAGTTGTAGATGTAGGGATGATTGTTCCATCGGATGGTATAGACCAGGGGTAGCCAAACTCCGGCCCTCCAGCCGTGGTGGAATAACAAATCCCATCATGCATCTGTCTCTGGGGGGGTCATGTCTGTGAGAATCTTGCAATGCCTCATGGGATTTGTAGTTCCACCACAGCTGGAGGGCCGGAGTTTGGCTACTCCTGGTATAGCGTATGGTCAGCTTAGTCTTGCATAAGCCGAGCTGTGATTGGTTCCCATGAAGGATGAACATCGGTAGAGATTGGATGCCGGGGAAGATGGCACATCGGTGATAGGCCGCATCCAAGGGTGTGATGGCCTATAGACGAGCGGATATACTTCTGGTCCTCTAACTGTCCAGACTCATCAGCAGAGCGGTGCCACGCTTGATCCAATGTTCTGGAGGTGAGGGCCCACTGCGCAGATCCACGCCGATGACGAAGGAGGCCCGGCCAGAAGAGCCGGAGCGGACGGGGTAGTAATAACATGGACAGGAGTACAGACCTGGAATAGACAGCAAAGGGGAAATACTTCAAGAAGATGTTTCATAGACTGTAGCTGGCCATACAAGGCATGGGTGGCCCTATGGGCCCGATACAGGTAAAAAAGGAAATGGGTGAAACATTCAGCCGCAGTGACCGGATATTCACACCTTCGTGCTGCAATAGCTGGCGGGAGAAGATTCCCCATCCATGCCGGGTGAGCAAGAGAAACAGTACAGAGGCTTCCTGTTCATTCACAACCTGAGGACGGATAGTACTCCACACAGCTATGAATGGACAGGAAGCCTCTGTACTGAGTGCTCTGTCCATTACTATGTCCCCCCAGTCATGAATGATCAGGAAGTGATGCGTAGCACTTCCTGTTCATTCATAACTGGGGACATAGTAAGCTTACTAACAGTGGGTCAGTACTGATCACCCCGGTGATTGCTCAGTACACAGAAGGATCGGCAAATATTACACATCTGCGCTCGGCCCCACACAGCTCCGCCCTCCATCCTGACAGCCCCATTCGGCATCTTCTCCTCCCATCACCGCTCTCTCCTCCCCACTGGGCGCCGGCAGCTGGTTCGGCTCTGTGTCCCCTCCAATCCCCACTGCTTCTGCCGATACAGTTGGGAGAGAACAGCGGGGATCGAGGGAGACACAATGGGGAGGAGAAAGCAGCGGCTTCCAACTTGAACCCAGGCCCTGAGACCCAAGCTGGGGCAACCGCCTCCCTGCCCCTCCCCCCTCCCTACACCTCTGCCTTCCCCCCCTCCCGCAGCCATTAGCTTTCTCTGCCATCGGTCAGTTTTGTTCTTCATCATGTGTGGGTGTGATCTTCAGGGCTGGTATCAGTCACTGCGCTGCATTAAAAAAACAAAAGCACATCCCCGGCATCCCTTTAGACACAATTGCTCCTGATTGGCTGTGCAAACTGCTGATCAGTTCCTTGTTTACCACCTCATTAGCATATAATCAAGCAACTGATCAGCAGATTGAACAGCTAAAGTCTGCATGACTCTGTGTCCAGCGGGGATGCTGAGCATGTGTTTTATCATATAACGCTTGAGGCAAGGTGCGGTCATGTTTACTGGGCCCCTTCCACCATATAGGGAAGTGTGTTAGGCTGTGCCCCTCCCCCGTTATGTGGAGGTTTATTTTCACTGTGGCTGTTGTGTGCCAATCATTCATAAAACAAAGACGTCTTCCTCGCCGACAATAAGTATTTCTGTCGGCAGAAGAGGGCAGAGATGGACCTCAGTCCAAGACAGAAGAACATCAGAAATCCATTTTAATGGGACGTTATAACATCAGAGTCTGTATACAGT